TCAACGCTATCAAAGAACAGCAGCAACAACAAGAACGGCATTACTGCTGCCTGATTCCGACCAAGCCGGCTTTCTGGTCTGATCTGGCCTATAGTACTATGTATAATGCATCGCCGCTGACCTTTTAACACAACGACCAGGCCACGTAGATTGAAGCCTGTCCGAACTAATTGTCCGCCTGTCGCAGCGTCGTCGTCTCGTCAATCGTCAGCCTTTAGTCTTTAGTCTTCTGCGCATGAGCATGAGCATGAAAAATGTTTTCATTTCATAGCTTCGTTTGTGTGTTTGAGCCGGTGTCAAGGTGTGTGCATGCGTGTGTGTGTGTGTGTGTGTGTTTGCGTGTGTGTGTGCTATGCATTGGCACTTAATTTTTTTGTTTTTTGTTTTTGTTCGTTGCATTCGTGTGAGATTACGCATGGGCTTGGTGTCTGGTTGGTTGTCTTGTTTTTGATGAATTTTTATTCTTATTCTTTTCTCCTTTACGTTCTTCTTTTTTTTTTTTGTTTTTTCCCTATTTTTTTTTTTTTTTTGGAATTTTGACGAAATGCATTTATAGTTGATCCTTTGGAATTTTCGTTGACTGGGCTTAGTTTACAATGCGTTTTTGATTAGGCGTTGCCTCATGGCTTCATGTTCGGTACGTGATTGGTATTATTCATCGCGGTCGCACTTCGACTTGAATAAATGTATTTCTTTGGTGTCGTTTTTATCCTGTTGGCATCCTCTTGTCATTTGTTTATCTACATACATGGTTGTTTATCAAAAAATTTCCTGCTTGATTTGTTTAGGGTATTTCCTACCTATCGCACTGTTTAATTTATACTTTAAGTATGCATTTTGCTTCACACATGTCTGGCGATATTTTTAGGCAGGTAGTTGCATTTGCTCTTTTCTTGTTGTCTGCTCTTCCTTATCTAAAACAGGTAGAATACATTTTAATGGAAATTCATTTATTTAGTTGCTAGGCATATAGTATGTAAGTGTCTGTGTGTGTTTCTTTTAGGAAGTAAGTAGTAGAAGAGGAAGTTGTAAAATGAGTAGAATGCGTTATGAATTTAGTTTTCCACCCTTCAAATAGAAATAAAACCTGTTTCACAAGGCTTGGTCGTCGTCTCAACTTTGACTGATTTTAATCAAACTAATATTTTGCCGTATAAAGTGCTAAACATAGGAAATAATAAAAACAATGAAATAAAAGGATTATCAAAAAATTTGTGAATAAACATTTGTTTTAATGCCCAAAAAGGAGTAAGACCATAACAGCAAGGACTTATAATATTAGTGTGTGGATTTTTCTTATCCATTAAATCAAGGCCATTTAACTATTTGGAACAAAAATCACTGTTAGTACCAACACTGTTCATTATGATATCATAATACAATTTTGCGCAGGCTATACAAGAGTCGATCGAACGCAGCTTCCTTTCTCCTCATTATAAACTGGTTGGACTGATGGATCTTGGCGTAAATAAATAAGATATTGTAACATATTTATTAAGACAGCCTTACGAAGGATGATTCATTAGGAGTTGTGCAACATACAAATCCATAATTGGGTTTCTGCAATCGTTTGAACGCATTCAGACTCTTAACAGTTATCTTTAAAGTGATATTAAAAGATAATTTACATAAAGCATAATATACTTTTAGGGCCAACTTTTCGGTTTTATTCCAACCCTTCCCCCATTTCTTTTAAGAACTAGTTTAGATTTGATTTAAATGAAACAAAATTAATATATATTCGTATACTTTTGCTGAAAGGTTTCTGTATAATTTAATTTCGTTTACTTCATTGCATTGCATATGGCTGCATGTAAAAAGGGGAAAGAACTTTCGAAATTTGTGGTAGCAACAAGAACAATAACAACTAAGTACTACATATCATAATAATAGCAGCCATGAAGCAATGAAAATTCAAAAGCAACGCACAACTGGCAAATGCTGCTGTCGCTGCTTAATTTTAGGGCCAACACCCAACTTTTGTGGAACAATGCAGTCGATAAGTATGGCATAAGTACAATTGAAACATACAGACGCATGGGGTCCATACCGTACCGTGCCATGCCATGCCAATGCCAATGCCGATGCCCGATGCTGCTCACTGAGCGATTCGTTTGTTCGCCACTCAAGCCAAACCAAACCGAACTGAAACCAAGCCAAACCAAACCAAACTCGAAGTCAAGTTACAGAGTATTGGCGAAGGCATAGAGGAACGAACGGAGGCAGGAGGAGAAGGAGAGGGGTGAGAGCAGTAGAGGGCAAGGGCTTCGGAGCCAGCTGTTCGAGAGCGCTTGGCGAGCATATCAAAAATAGTCATTGTAATAAGAAAATTTTGATTTCATTTTTAGTATTTGTATAAAATTTAATAACGCCGCACAAGATGGCGGACTGACTGAATGAGCGACCGGCTGACAGACTGACTGACTGGCTGGCTGAAGTTGGGTCTGGTTTGGGCCAAAGTTGAGCGCACAAAGGCAGCATCATACGCCACCACCCCCTGAAGAAGGATGGGTGCACGGAACGCAAACGCAACTAAAACGCTTAAAACACACAATCTCGTTTGGGTTCGGTTGGGATTTCGGGGTTACGCTTAAACTCTAAGTACATTTTAACTTAACTGCCTTTTTTTTTTTTTTTTGTGTGTCGCTTCTGCCGCCGATGCTGCTTTTAGTTGCCATTGCTGTTGCTGCGGCTGCTTATGCTGCTGCTGCTGCTGAGCAGGCGACGACGGCAGCAAAGCGAATTGTAAGGCGAGAAGGCAAACCTTTAGCAATATGATGACGACGTTGACGCGGACTTAGGGGACGCACGAAGGCATTATGATGACGATGATGATTTTGGTGATTTGCGTTGTGGTGGGGCGGTAATATAGAAAGGGTGGTGGTGCTGCCGACTGTGCTGATAATGTGCTGTTGCTGCTGCTGCTGCTGCTTTTGGCTCGGTGGTGGTTTGAGATTTCTCTGCCTGCGAGAGCGCGCAGCAAGCACAATTATAAATTTTTGGAATTGTTGTAATTTAGTTTGTTTGTTTGCCCGTTTGTGTTGTTAGCATGAACCGTTGTGTGTATGTGTGCATGTGCACTATGTACAACTGTTTGTATGCATGTGTGTGTGTGTGTGTGTGTGTGTGTATGTGAGTGTTGGCAGTTGAGTTAGAAAAAGTTGCTGGCTGGCTGACTGCCTGTCTGCCCGCTTGCCCGCCTGACTGTACGAGTACGTTTGATTATTATGATAAAGCATAATGATTACATATTTAGTAGATTTTAGCTTTTAGCTCCCAAACGTGCGTGTGTGTGTGTGTGTGCAGTTTGTGCGAGTGAGAGCATGCGGCCATTTGAACTTGTTCGAAATTGGCAAGAGGGGTTGGCTCGATTTTTTACAGGGTTACATTTCGAAGCCATTGACTTGCACTTGATTAATTACAGTTTATGCGCTGCAGCTTATACATATGTACATACATACATACATAGGTTTCTATTGTATTTTTTTTTGTAATTTTTAGATGGTTGGAAACAGAATGTTATATGTAGTTCCGACTCTTGACATGAGGGTTACTTATGCAATTGGCTGCCTTAGCAATTATTTAATTTTTTTATTTTGGTATTACCAACCGTTTTGTGGTGTACAACTATACTACAAGAAATGTCAACTTATCAGAAACTATCCAGAAATATATGTACATAGATGAAACATTATTATTTGTATAAATGGTACACACATTCTTAATTCCGACGAACAGAAATTCTTTTCATACCTACCACGAATGTTAATTTTTTTCAAATGAATGCTCAGCCACCCAATAGCAACAAAAACAGCAAACTCAATATTTAAATGCATAAATTGCTTGCATATTTTTATTGTACTTGTACATGGCAGAAGTTGTGCAAGTGTTGTTGTTGCGCATGTTGTTGTTGTAGCCATATTTTTGCCTTTTTGTTTTGCTTGGCTCATTTGGCAGCGCTGAAAAGAGCGCAAGGAGAGAGCACGAGAGCTAAGCAAAATGTGTGTGTGTGCGTATGTTCCTATGTAGCTGGCAGTAGCCCAAGAAATAGCTACAAATACGTTAAATTACAAGCCAAACAATTGGCGCTATTGTCATTACTTTTGGCCCACATTCAAATGGCCAAAGAGAGAGCTGCAAATACTCACAATTTAGCTAAAGAGCGTATTACTATATATGCATATATTTGCGTGTGCGTAGCGCTCTCTCTGGCCTGCCATAATTCATATAACAAATGCCGTGTTCCGTTTCCTTTGCCGCTACCGCCACTATTGTTGTTGTTGCGATTGCTGTTGTTGTGCTTGTGCTTGTGCTTGTCCAGCTACTTCGTACATGAAATAAACGAAACGAAGAACAACCGAACAGCAGCCGACGACGATTGCCGACGATATTTCGCTCTTTTCTGCTATGCGCTTGTATGTGTGTTTGTGTATGAGCATGGCTTGAATAAATGAGCGCATTTGCTTGAACGTCTCGCTATATGTGTGAGTGCGTATGTGTATGTGTGTGTGTGTTTGAGTGTGCGTTTGTAATTGATTTTATTAGTTTTTGGTTTTTGTTGTGTGTTTGCCTCTGTCGACGCTGCCGTTGGCGTCGTCGCTGCCGTCGTTGTCGTCGGCTTCGTTGCCGCTGCTGCGTTGATGAATTTAAAAAAATTTTGAATTGCCCGCCCTTAGTCATTGACTAAACGTGCAGCAGTACGAACACGCGCAGCGGCAGTGAAAAGTTTGTGGCAGTGTCTGCGAACGTACGTGTGTGTGTGTGTGCGTGCGGCATTTGACAAACCTCCTCGAAATTTGTTTGTTAACTCTACAATATTTTTGTGTCAAACATTTGTTTATTATTCGGCACGCGCGCAACAATTACGTTGGCATCTAAGAACGATAACTAAAAAAATAAAACAACTGCAACACCAAGAACAATAACAAAGAACTGTGCTGTAGAGCTTATTGGTTAGCATATGCATATATTTGTTGCAATAAACTTAATTTCATTTGCAGCTGCATTTGCAACTTGAAACCGCTTGAGAATATGTGCTTCAAAAAACTGCAACAGAAATTCACAACTACTACGCCAACCACAAAAACAACAACACCAAGAGCTAAAACACTTGCTCACATATAAGTTTCAAATTAATTTTGAACAATCAGAGAAGCACGAAAACTTTTGATTCGATTTGTGCAAATATTTCATTGGGATTACACAAAACAGTCGTTTGCTCTGGATTAATAATTGAGTGACACTTAAAACAAGGATAACAAGCAACAACAATAAGAAAGCCGACAAGATGGTAAATAGCAAAAGACTTATCTCTTCTATACGTTCATATATCTTAAGTTTAACAAATGCACAAACATGTACGAGTATATCTACAAGTACATTCATTTTATTATAATATGGCCAATAGAGAAACAAAATGTGATTCAGCGCCGCTAATTTCTATTTTATTAGCAGTTTTTGTGCGCGCGGGCGCTCCTTAGTCTTAGTCATTAGTTCTAAATGTTCTCGATATACTACAGCAGTCAGTTTTAAGTGTAGAAAACAAAACAGTGAAGAATATCACAGCTTATTTTTTACATACATATATAGATATGTTCATATATGTATGCACTTATTTGCAAATGTATGTTTGTATGTCTATACAAGTTTAATGGCGCAGTCGCACGCACTAAACGCGTCGTGTGGCCGTACATATAAATCGTTTTAATCTCTTGCATATTAATTTTTATTATTGGCATCTATAATTTCCGGCGCTTTGATTAAGCACAGTCGGCGTATCCCATACAAGGCGCTGCGATTTGTGCGATATATGCGAATTTAAATCATAAAATTCACAATAAGTTATCGTACCTAAACATATTTGTAATGCAGTCATGCATCAAACTTCCGTCATGCTGACTTATAGTATGTTTCTAAACGTATTTCGTTATAGCGATAATTATAAAGATGCGAGCTGTATTAATGCCTACCACAAATCGTAGGAAATACTAAGATTTAGCACATCAACTACCAAGAAAAGAGATTATAATATCAACCACATCTTAAAGAAATTGTGGCCACTGCGGTTTTGACTCATTCTTAATGAGAGACTTTTCTATGCTCAATTAGTTTGAACAGTTTTCGCCAAACTAAAAGTTTACAATTGTTTTTGAATTTCTTGGGAGCAATTAGTGCTGTCATATGCAGAAATGCTTAAATCTTTTGATCAAAGCCTGATCTTATGTACATCTTTATAATATGGAGCAATATGGCTTGTAGAAGCAAATTTATTTAAGCATGAACAATGCAGAGCATGTGTTAAGTACATAATATGATGAACATTTCATTAACAATAATTGTATGACAGTTGAAAATTAAAGCCATTGATAAGCCCACCAATTTATAGAGGAAGTCTTTAAGATTTCATAATGTTCGCATTTATTTATTTAAATATCAAATTAATTAATTCATACATTAGTGATGGAAAATGTTTGAATTTTACACTTTGTTTACATGTTTTAAAGTACGAACTTTGAACTTGAACTTTGTTTATTGTTATTTCACATTTTGTTATTGTTTATATTGTAAATATGAAATTGGATATACTTGTATATATGTACATATATGCTAATGCCAACATACCAAAGATCATTAGTAGAGTTGTTACATATTTTATACTTATTATTATTTTATAGAGATCATTTCTGTGTTATTATTTCAATTTTAAATTTAAAGAAGTGGTTTATGCACCTTTGTATACTTATATTCGTTATAATTATTATAATTTCGCTTAACCCACTAATCCGTCTTACTTCTAAATTCATGCCTAAGTATAACTTATACAGTGGTATGAACTCATAGAGTCTTGGTGGGTAGATTCCTCATTTGCATTAAAAATTAAGTGTAGATCATAACAGTATATCGCACACATTGTTATGGAACCACTTCAAATGGGATTCTTATTTTGATTGGGTCTTTCATAGGTACATATATGTATGTATAGTATATAGCACGTGCTGGACTTGGCATAATTATATTGATACACGATCATATTGCTAATGTATTTATGGAAGCACTTCAAAGCAGAGCAGTTCACGCTGCCAAGATGAGTTCAAATTTATTTGAATATTTCAGTTGCCATTTTCGCAGCCATTTCGAACCATACACAGGAATTCTCATAGCACTTAAATTAATCGCAATTTCATAAACGTATATATCAAAGCTGTGTTATTTGCATATGTATGTACATGCATATACATAGATAAATGCTTGTGTGTGTGTGTATGTGTGTGTTCCGCAACATACATACATACATACATATACGAGTATCTGCACCAATAGATACAAATAAATTTTGGCACATTAGAAACACCACAGAATGTGGAATGTAGAAGGCAGAGCCAAAGATGAAATTATGATTATGATGTTGTTATAATTAGAGAACAACGAAAGCGAAAAACGATTCATAATTATTCAAAAATTGACTTTAAGCAGACAGAGAGCAGCCGTCGCCGTCGTCGCAACCAGATTTGTAGCTATAAAGATTTTAGTTATGATTTAAAAATTGTATATTCCGGCTATTTTTAAGTACTACCAGCCGGCACAGGCAGCTTGCAGCCCGCAAATGTCTATGAGGGCCTCAATATACAACTACAACTACAAACACAAATTACATTTAAAGTGCTTAATCACAGACGAAGAGCGGCGCAAAACTTTTACACACAAATCATATTCATAATTCGTTGGTTGGTTGGCTGGTTTGCTGGTTTGGTCGCTGCTGCTTCGTTGGGTTGTTTGCTCGGTGGGGTCCGTGCGCATGTCTTTCAAGTTTTTGTTTTCTCCTTTTCTTTCATTTGATTTTTTCATTTTGTTGCGTTCGAATTTGTTTTCATTAAAGGAAATGAAATGAGTGTGTTAGTGTGTGTGTGTGTGTGTGTGTGTGAATGTGTGCTGCAGCATCGGATCGATCTGATGTTACACTTTTAGGAAAAACTAATAATTTAAGGCAATGTATGTTTCAACTCAACACCGCCTGTACACAAGCGCACAACTACAATCACAAACACACACACACACACATAGACCCACACCCATGCAAGCAATGGGCGCATTTGTTTTATTAATTGCCATTTAACATACAAATTTGTACATACAAGCGAAATAAACATAAAAATGTGTATTATAATAATTATAATAACAAGCAGTTTTTTATTTAAGTAGCGCACACACTCTTGGCAAAAGCGCAAAATCAAATGAAAATTAGCTAAGCAGAAGCCAAAAGTGTGTCTACAATACACACACACACACACACACTTCTATATGGGTTTAAGATTTCCGCACTGAGCGTCAGCAGCACTCCACCGCACCACCCCCATCGAACAGCGTCTATGGAGCAGCATTGCGACGTCGACGCGTACGTTTGGCCATATTTTATATTCAAATGGCAATTATTCGAATTTATTTTTAATGTGCAATATGTCCATATATATTGCTCTCTCATTTCACTGGCATTTCTTGGTGCTCTGAGACTCTGACTACTTAATTTTCAAGTGCCATAAAAATGTGTACTTGTATGTCTGTATCTGTGTCAGTGTTTGTGGTTGTTGTGCCTTTGGAATTGAAATCCAGCGATTTTGGCGTTGAAAAAAGGCATATTTGTTATTCTATCGATATGCTTATAAATATTTAAAAGCTTCAAATGAAAAAGAAATAAGCAAGCCAATAAACAATTAGTTTATTTATTGACACATTTGATATGTCGAGAGACACACAGACGGAGCGAAGGGCGATGGTGGGGGCAGATGATAGTGACATGAGCATTTCATATTAAAGTGCTCACGCTGAAAGACACAATTATTTATTTATTGCATGGTGAAGCATTATGCGATCATAAGTATCCAGATAGAATTAGATATTGTATATGTATAATTGTATATTAGCATACACACACACGTAAATGGAGTGCTTGTGCCCCTTTGGCCGCTGTCTAATGCAAATTCGTTCCATCACTCAAGGCAACATTTTCTTTTTCACAGAAATTTTCTTGTGAAAACAACAAGTTGGGAGCAATTAATGCTAAGAAAAGTGCTGCCTGCATACAAAAGCATGTCAGTCAGAGAGAGGGAGAGACAGACAGACAGTCTGTCATGCAGTCAGTCAGCCAATTCAGTCGTTCAATCAGTCAAGCGCAGCCGGCTGGCTCCGATATACGAGTATGTGTTTTATCTATCGGCATCCTTTTTTACGAACCTACATACATATGTATGTATAGACGCTCAACTCAATAGCAACTACAAAGAACCTAAGCCAACTTCAAACCGAAATCGAATGCCAAAGCGACTTATTAAAGACTTGCACACACAATAACTGACAATCAATCATTGCACGTGTATTTGTAAGATATTTTTCAACTTTTGATAATGCCGCATACTTTATTTTTTTTATTTTTTTGACAAATCAGTCAGTCTAAGCTCAGTTAAGATTGACTGATCAAGCAACAAAAAGTTGGTAATTAATACATTACGCAATGGCGAAACAAATTTCAACATGGCCAGCGAAAAGTTCCCCAAATTGAAGACTATTCAGGCTTATAGACGTGGACAATATGTAGTGGGGGTTTAAAAGAATGAATGCTCCTGTAAACAATTTCAAAAGCAAGCTCCTTTTATCGCAACGAACTGCTCTGTAACTGGAGAGGACTTGAAGACTAAAAAAGATCTGTAGAAAACTCGTTTTTGTTTTTCATTCAATTAATTAGCTAAACTGCAACAAACACCAATAGCAGTTCTAACTATATGAACCAATTACAATTAATTATAATTTCATTAGTTCTCCTGAATGCGTTTCTCAATTTGCATGGCGAATCTGATAAACAGCTGCTGCAACGTTTTTTTATATTTTAATTGAAAAGTTAAGAAAAATAATAATTATTGGCTTTAAAAACAAGAACATTTTATACAAATTCCACCCCTATTAGGTTGGGAAACGTTCCCAGAACGAAAGGAAAACCCATTATTTTAATTCGTTCAGCACAATATTCAATAAATTGAAGCACATTTAGTATTTCTACTACGATACTCGTACACAGAAAGCAGGGGGATGAGAGCGAGTTGATAGTCAACCAGCCAAATAGCTTAATTAATTTTAATTATTTTCAATGAGCGACTATGCAACGTTTTTATTTTCTTTCTTTTTTTATAACAAGACGCTTTACTTAGAACGCAAAAAGAGGCGCACCCAAGATATATTTGTACTTGATAAAAGCGTAGCAATTAAGTAAAACATTAATGGCATTAAGCAGCCCGTTCAATA